AATCGCTGCCCGTCGCCCGGCGGAAAGAAGCTTTGCCCGGGTCCTCGCGCTAATGGAACTCTTGTTTCATGTCCGAATGAAAAGAAATCGTCGCAAAGGCGCGGCGCTCGACCGTAGCAACCGTTTTTGTTACCGTCCAAGCATTTTTAGGGGATGAACAGATATAGAGAAATCGAGAAAACGGAGTATTACGATCGAAAAGGACATTTCTGTTTGATTCTTCTCGAGAAGAGCGACACGTTTCCAGCGAGTTGTAATTTACGAGTGTTTTCGGCGTTGCGTGGTCGCCCGTAATCCTTTCGCAACGACCGTTTCGCAAGAATTCCAATGGGTAAGAAAAATGTCAGTTTTTGTGCGCGCGCCGCGCGCGAGTAGCTGAATCATAATTTCACCTTAAAGCTCCTTCCTGAATAGCGTAATTAACCGTCCCGGACAACCGAGGAATCGTAACTGCGTGTTCCTATCCGTGCGGGTTGAGGCGAATGATTGAATAGCGTATTATTAAATCGATAACCCGGTGAAAACGTTAATAGAGCCGTCGTTACTTTACCTCGGCTGTGCTACATTGCGAGAATAATTGTTCTTAATTGGCGCCCCCGGTGGAATTATTAACAATCGAACGCCGTATCGATAGCGCCGATTGAACCTAACGAGGAAACTGGCCACAAGAAATCTCATCCCGGACGCGTTATCTTTCCGGCACTTCGTTTCGTCTTCGAACCACTTCCTCCTTGTGATTTGTGTTACTGGATCATAATCATTCTTTTCTCGATAAGACGGCGTCAGTGAAAGTACCCTGGCGCGTTCTGATCGGATCTTACGGTCTTTCTCTCCGGCGAAGTGTGTATCTTGTAATCATCATTTAATGTAACGGTAAAGTTTTCCAATTAAGTGCTAATACCCTAGTCCCATTCATCGGCCAGCAGAAAAAGGAATTTTATTTTCGTTGCAAGCGCGCGTCTACCCTGTAGATTAAATATTAATGGAAGAAAAAGTATTCAATCCCGGACTTAACAAGATAAACGATATTCGATATTGGTAATTGATATCGATCGTTTGCCACCAGTAAAAGTACTGCCGCTGTAATTCAGGGAGTTAGAGGAGGTTATTATTAGAAGATTATTAACTTTCAGTTCTCAGCAATATTAATGCACCAATTAAAAATAATACAACACTCGTAAATCCGAACTTCAGCGATAATCCGGAATTTCCATGAATACAGAATATTTCCGTGTCGACTGGGAAACATGTAAAATTCGAAATCCGCCGTCGTAAAACCGAGAGTAATCCCCCGATGATCATCAAGGCGTGAAGGCGTCAAGTTTAATCACGTGATGGATTGAATCAGCCGTCGTCATTGCGCCGGTAATTTATTCATTTATTCGTCCCACCCCCCACCATGGTGTCTTTTGTATCCCTATTTTTTGGCAAATTGCGTTTTTATTCTTCGGTCATTAAAGATTTCAGACGCAAGGAGCCCGCTCGATCGGGAGCACAATTCAAGGCAGCCTGCGAAGCGTTAATGTTCCACGTTGGAAGCGTTTAATGGTCCGGACCATGGGTCGCCTTTTGCGTCATTAATTTATTTAGTCATTCTGTGTCCCTCCCCCCTGTATCGTGATCTTCTGCGTCTCCTTCCCGCTGCGCCGGCTGTTGCTCGCTTTTCTGTCTTGGGAGAGGGCTCTCTAGCTCCCGGGCGCTTTTAAATCCTGTTAACACGTTCATTGCCAATGTGACCGATCGGTCGTATGGGCGGCGATAAGAAGATACCGTGTAAACCGCCTGGTCACAAGCACTTTTTGTTTCGAACGTTTATTGCCAACGTGACCGATGAGTCCCGAGTGATAAGGAAGCACAATGCCTAGTGCTAATGGAATTGACCAATTTCATGGTTTTTCTGGTTTGCGATTGTAAACGGAGAAATGTAACTTAAACTTAAGAATATATTAAAAAGCAGAAAGGATTCCATGCTTACTTTATTTCTTACATTTACCGTGAAGCATACTAGTTAGTAAGAGAAAAATGATATTTAAGACATTTATATTCGCTGAATTTTGTTTGAAATCTTCGTTAAAAATTCAAGTATTCTAAGGAAAAGGGTTAAATTGCAACAACCCATTCGTAACACGAAGTATCCAAGCCCGTCAATGTAGGCGCATGTATTTATTTCGACGACCGGTCGCCGCGGAGAATCGTTCGACTGGAGGAGATTTAATAGCGGTGTGTCGGCATTAGTTTTGAAGGACACAGATCGTAGACTGCAAGAAGCTCGATCGTACAAGCTGCAACGCCTGATGCAACGCTCGTCGCATGCGACGCGCGTGTTCGTTTCCATGCGCACGTTGCAATTCATGAATTGCTTTTTGCGGGACACTGAAATAAATTATTGGCGATATCATAGTCATCGCGCGAATACCTTTATGTCCTTTCAATCTTGGGTATTCGATGATTTATTGAATAGTTCTCTGAATAGTGTTGCATTTTTTCATAGATGAAATGTTACGCTTGAACAGTTAAAGTATTTTCTGTGGTTATTTTGTAGGATAAACTAGAAGTTAATCGTTGTTAGTTGAATAGTATTCCAGTTATTATAATAATATAAAAGTTATTGGAGTATATCAATTTAAGATTTATTTAGAAAGACTTAACTTAAACGTATTCTTTAAGTTTTCGCTACACTTTACCAAGAACGAGTTGCTGAAAGATGCGGTGCTTCTTTACGTGTTCATCTTAGGTCCCAAATCACGAGTACCTAGAGAGACAAATCACTCAAATTCTCATTGCAATCTAAATGATGGAAATATTATTTAAAATAGAGTTTCGAATGATTAAATATTTTAGATCTGTACATATATAGTTTCCAACATACTGTCTCATTTTGATACTTCGTACCGTAACACATCCAGCACTTTACTCTTCTGTTAGAGAAAGAAAATCTCATGTACCCTTCACCGTTACTAATTTCGACATGTTGCATCTCGGTTAAAACTCACCTATAATTGGTATTACTGAAATAGTACTTAAAAAGTTCTTGGAACAAGTTACTCATGACCTACTGTTAGATTGCGAACTATCGACGGTAGTGAAAGGGTCAATTTTCTCTGTGTTCGCAATGATCGCCTGAAGCGCAATCGATCATCAGTGATATCATCGATCGCGGCACATCTCGTTTTTACAAACCTCGTTCGTCGTCCTCCCTGATCAAAGGCACACGAAGCTTTTACCGGTGACTTTCCCTTTTCAAACGATCGCGTCCGCGTACTGCGCGTGTGCACACATGCACAACGTAACGCGGAAAATATATTATGTTACGAGATCTGGTATTGTGTAGAAATTTATCGTATCTTTTCGTGTTGTATTTTCGATCGACTTGCACAGCAAAAAATTGATTTATCGCGTCGACTATGCAAACAGAATAAATTGTGATTAATAACTCATTCAATTAAATAAGCGGGATTTCTAAAAGACTATTTCGATCAGCGCTCCTTTTTCTGTATCGATACCATTCACTTATTTGATGTTAATTCTACTTTCGTTTTAAATGTAGAATATTCAAAGATTTTTATATTTGCTACTGACGTTGTTACTTATGATGGCCAACCACCTTTTAACCGAGTATTCATTAATGACATTGAAAATGATATTAAAAATTAATTGTACCATATTCGTGATTATTCAACCATTGCAAACGCATAATGATGTACATATTTTCTAGTTTTCACTGAAGTATAACAATCAGCATTGCAAATTTGATGGGTCGACATATGATGAAATAGAAATTTGAATTGAGGATCTTATTACCAAGCATTTTCATTCACTTTTACCTTTGAAATTTTAATTTTCATAAAGATTTCCTATCCAGTCGTTTATGTATTATTTTATCCACTAAACGTTTTGTAGTTGATATAAAACCTAGTAACCTTCCGTTATCTCGAGCCTTATTACTGAATTGTATGCACGTGTTGATACGCAAGTTGATAGAGCAGACAACGGGGATACCGACCCCGAGCACGCACGTGGAAAGCGCAAGAGCGTTTTCTTTTCCCCAGCTGAATGAGACCTGAATTTTCTGTTGCTTAGAGAGTGCCAACGCATGTTATGCAAATACACGGTCACTCGGCGATTTCTTCTCGTTAACTTGGTATCATTAACGAGCTTTTTCTCTGGGCCCATTGGAAAAATCGAAAAAAGTAGAATTATATCGTCGGTGCTGAAATAAAACTAAGCACAGTGGTACGTACTATTTTGTTAGCGAATCGTGTACCTTGGACGTTGAAACGATATTCGATCAGACTTCTTAATTTATACTTATTAAATAATTACTGCAGTAGATAGCAAGCTGGTAATGAACTTCGATAGTTGAGCTAGTAGGAAAGTATTTTTGAAAGGAATTAAAGTATCAGTGAAGTCATTACAATATTCTATGAACCTTTTAACTGTGGAATTTATTTTGAAAAATCTTTCGTTTGGCACGCAATAAAATGAAAAAATGAAGTGTGTACTCGTTAAACGCAGGAGAAATGCATCTAGGGTATATTTTAATGAAAAATCGAAGCAAGACAAAGAAGAATTACACGTTTATCCGAAAAACAAAGCTTTCACCGTTGAAAGAATTAATCCCATTTCAAACTTTAAGATGACGCGAATACTCATGAAGCACATGTAACTGATTAATTTGCTAACTTGATGAATTCTTTAGTAACAAAGATGTAATTCCAGACGAATAAAATGAATATGTAATGCTTAATGAATGCGGAATATATAGCATTGGTGAAACATAAGGACATACATAAATGGTGAACCTACTTATCTTTTTCGGTTAATTATTACTTTTATTCTGTAATATTAATTGTATTTCACTATTTGATGAATTTAATAGATCCTACGAAATAGGATTTGAAAATGTGAAGTACGCTACAATTTTTTTGGTAGTATTAAATCGTTTTTAATGAATACTTGTAGATAAATGTGGAATGTAAAATTTCTTCTTTTTGTTGCAGAACAAGACCAACCAGACCCCTACTATACAGTTCCTAGGAAACGAAGGGGTAAGTGGAAATCACTTTCTATCGTTTATTCATTCAAGTTGAGGACACCTGCGCGACATGCACAGGATTCCGTGCGTTTAATTATTAATAGCGTAAGCAAGATCTGCCAAAGATTAGAAGAGTCGCACGATAACCGGCTCACGCGCGATGATTAGTAACGCAAATTAGGGTACGGGTGCACATTATTCTACGATAACGTAATACATTCGTGATTCTGGTTCCCACGCAGGAAAACGTACGTTTCTGGGAACAGTATGATCCTTAATATATTTAGAAACGTCAACTGCAGCTGTTTGGACGTTTAATTATCATACTTAGTATTGTAAATGAAGGTGACGCCACTGAGTGAACATTTAATTTTGTTTTGCAGGAATTTCAGTGAACCTGTTATAAATTTAAAATGGGCAAATTTAAATACTTGCTTTCGAATCGGATTATTGTTACATCGATATTGTCACCTCAGTTTACAATGTTGACATACAAGTTTGTCAGGGGTTTATCGCCACTGTTGCGTACTTGTCTGAGAAGTAAACAATTGCAGCTGCATACATTCATTCAGGTTACTTGAATTCGTTAAGTAAGATTTCTGATAATCTAATTACCAGTCTAAAATACTACTATTAGTCTTCTCATAATCAAAGAAATCGAAAATGATTCAAATTCGCAAAAAACTGTCCTAGTATCCACTAAAAATTCACACGTTCTATTTTCTTTATGTTTGAATTTATATGTTTCCCAATGTCTCGATTACTTCAGAATTCCGAAATTCATCTAAATTTCAAAATGTTAAGAACTATTACTTTAATATTATACTTTTCTAAATGAATACTTCGCTATTCTAAACCACTCGAACCGAGAATGCTTCGTTTCAAGCGTACTCTACAGAACTTCATCCTAATTAGAAATAAAGTAACTTACGGAAAATCTCGACCTACGGTTCATCGTAATTGTTTCGGGAAATTCGCGGATTCCAAAAACGACGAGTTCTCGCGATCACTCACGCACGCGTGATGATAAAAAAGCGGCGTCGTCCTCGGAATCGCCAGCTGCATGTCACGTGGGTTTTAGTGACTCGCGTTTCCCGTGAACTACCGTTTAGCGCTTGTGACGTTGCCGACGGATAGACGGAGACGCGGGCCGTGTCACGTTTCTTGGAAGTTTTCTGCCGCGATTTGTTGCGGGATGCCTTCACGATTTGTTATGGAAACCTCGTTACTCGTCCCGCGTGGAACTCGAAAGTGTAAACTGCTATGCTTCCGTGTGTGATGCAACGCGTAGCCTCGTGCGTTCCTTCGACTGGACGATTCTATCGTGGCGGAAAACGAATAACGGTCATTTCAAACATTGAAGTTACTATACTTGGACTCACCTATTTTACTCTGATTCGAGCAGAGATTGCTTTGAATTTAAATTCGGATTTCATATTTGGCAATTAAAAATCGTATTGATCATGGAATTAACCATGGAAGGTCTGTACCTCTTCGTGGTTCTCTGATCTTACGATGAATTTGTTACTAAAAAGTCATTATATTTTAATATCGTTCAATATTTATCGTAATATTCTGATATTTCAATGAATAAGGGTAACATTTATATTCTGAAAGACGTCAGTCAGTTATGATTATGAGATTTCATAATGTAATATTGTGAGTAGAAAATCATTCAAATATTTCACATTTGTTGTCCCTGCAATTGATATAATAAATCAGAATATTTTCCAATTCCTATCAGTAACAAAACTCTTAAGAATCTAATCACAAAACAACTCCGAAGGCAAGAAACGAACAACGTTCAATTGAAAAAAAAGAAGAAGAAATTTTCATGCTAAAAATTCTACGCCGCAAGAAGTTAATCAACCTCCCCACTCGCTGGTCATACCGGAAAAATTAAGTTCCATTAAACCCAAGAAAGGAAGGTTAAAAGAAGCAGTAACCTTGATCAACCCCTACTTATAAACTTTCTCTTTCCATCAACGAAAAAGAGAAGAAGAAAAGGAAAAGAAAGCGATCATCATTCCGTGGCTCGAGAAATCCTTACCAATCAGCGAGAACCCATCGGTATCATGGACGCGAGAAATAAGTCAAAGGTTGCCGTCAAAGACGCGAGAGGGGGGACAAGGCGTCCTGAAGACGCCTCGGGAAAAAGAGGCGCGATGATAGTGAGAGGTGTTCGATCGCGCGCGACGGGTATGTCTTGCGTTACACGCGCCAGAGATCTTTTTACGTCGGGAGATCGAGAGATCGACGGCAATGTGTACTGCGCTTGTCCGTAGACGTGGCGATCGCGAGCGCGTGGACCGAAGGTTTCTACTACGGTGAAGGCGATCGAGGTCGTTCGAGCAAGGTTATACACCATTTTCTCTCCCGTTCGTTGGTCGCGAACATTCGTTTGTTCGTTCGTTCGTTCGTCCATCCATTCGTTTGCTCGAGATCTCGAATCGTCGCGAAACGCGAACGTTGGTCCTTGGCGAGCGGCATCGCGCACGCGGTTGATTTTTCGAAGGTTGAACCGCGGAGATCGGATGTCGAGGCTGTTGTACCTCACTGTCGGTTTTCGGTTTAAGCCTGCAATCGCGGAACACCTTGACGAGCTTTGATACGAGGGTTACATATCGGGAGATCCTTTGCGTCTTTTCGTTTTGTGCCTCTTTGAAGTTTTTGTTGGTTCCCGACAGTCGGTGCATCGTAATTTTAATGGAATCTGGAGATCGATGGATGTATTGGCAGGTTTCCTTTTGATGTTAACTCTAGCGGTGAGATCGAATGGATGGTCTGCTTTTTACTGTTTCTTATTGATTTGTGATGCTCTTCGGTTGTGCTCTTCTTGGATTTCGGTATTGTGTTTTAGAGATTATAGGATGGTTCGCTAATGACTCTAATGATACTGATACTTTGGAGATTCTGGTACGAAGTAATTCTTTCCGTCCTTATCTTCCATTATTTATAATTATTCTTCGAATAAAGCCTACCTGTAATATTCTTTTCTAATGAACCTTGTATTGGTATTAACGATTAAGAAAGTTGCACCGAATGTCTTGTTAAGTACATGAAACATCAGAAAAATATTCTATACAATTCTCTTTTTGCATCAGAAACCTTTCTCTTCGATTGTTCGTACTTCTTCTTTCTCTATCCTGAAAACCGCAATGCTTTCCATTAGCGGGGCCTCCATTGGCGCCAACAGTTCGGTAATTCCGCTCGAAGTTGCACTCGTCACGTTCAGAAAGCATCCCGCAAGCGTAACCCCCACAGCGCTGCCACGTAATCGCCCTTTGATCTCGACTTTCATCATCCACAGACTCCTTTTCGCGGCGGACTGGCGGCGTATTTTCGATCCGGCCAGCTGTTTCAAAAAGTCGTGGACATGGTTACAGCGTTAGACCCAGGAATTATTTATGCAGAGCCGAAAAAGTGGCCTTGCCTCGGCGTCGCCATATAACTATACAGTAAAATTTGTACGCTTCGCCCGGCTTGTCACTTCCCGAGGCGAACGTCGCCGCGTCGCCTTAAATTACGGTCTCGAAATCTTTTTTTGATCATGGAGGGAAAAAGGTGATTGACCTCACCCGTTTTTCGGGCGTGGTCGATCGAACCGTTTAGGCAAAGTTGCTGTGACATGTTTAAGACACCGATATAGTCTCCGCGACCTTATGCGCCCGGCTTGAACTTTGAAAGCGATTCGGTTTTATTTTGCTTTCGAATACATTAGCTTTTAAATTGAAAAGTATTTGAATAGAAAATTAGAAAACAATGAGTTAACCAACTTTGGAATTTTGGTGGTATAACCGTTTCTCAATCGTCTTGTATAAAAAGCTTTCGATCATCAGAAGTAGTTATCACAATCTTATTTGTCACACGGTTTTCTAAAGTTTCCCAATCATTAGATCCCGAATATTTATAACCCCTCTTTCCCTACACAGAAACACCACAACGCAGAAAACAAATTTCTATTTTACCTTAATTTCCTATCTGTCAACCGCAGAACCGTAAAATCGAGGCTGAATCTTTTAAAATGACTTTTGCCGGTTCTCACGTGAGTTACCGCGCCCGCATGGGTGTCCAAGATAATAAAATCACGCGATTAATCAGGGCAGAGAAGTTCGCGGTCCTCGAGCATGACCTAAATACATTAATCCGAGGAATTCGTCGAGCAACGAGTTCCTGGAACGTAGAAAAAAAATTACGAGTATCCGCAATCGAACGCAATTATACGGTTCAGCGGGGCTCGTTTCGATTCCAGCGGGTATCACCTGTTGCGGCGGAGTGAAAGGAGAGCGTCCTCCCTTGGTACAGGGTGAAAAGAAGTAGCTTGCCCGGTAGGGCCACGGTTTATTAAGGCTTCGTTCGCATAACCGATTCTGTTTAGTCGCGTTTACCGCGACCGCGTTCCAACCTGACCATTGACTGGCTTCCGCGCTCTTCCACGTCGCCGGATCGAGGTGCGCGGATCGATGTTCAGCCGCGTTGACCTTTTCCCGCTGATCGAAGGATGTAGCAGCCTTAGGGCCGATTCTTCTCGCGTCCAGCGGCTGGAAAATTGTTTTCTGAGGACGCCTTCCCAGAAGCCGGTGGCTGACTCGATTAATCCTTGGAAAAGAGTCCTCGGCCGTTCTAGAAAGTGGTTGCGTTCTTCCCCAGCGCTGAATATAGCTGGATCAAACAGGCAATTCACCGGAAGGACTTTGCGCGTCGCGTGGCCACTCAGCTGTTCACCATTTATCTTTCTTTTCTCGAAGGGGAGAAATCGGTCGGGTTTGGTCGAGTGTTATCGGGGGAGGTTTGATTTACTGTCTTGGTGACTTTTTAATATTTGAAGGTTGGTACCGCTCGGATATTGCACTGTCGTTCCTTTTGTCTTACAGTGCGAGAGAAATTGGAGACTCGTCGAGCGTTCCAAGTTGGACAAAGAACGTTGTGCGTGCACATTGTGGTTGAACGTTTCCTGGTGGTCTTTGCGCTTCGTTTCGATCGTTAGCATTTCACTTTGTCGTATACCCGTTC